GAGCTCCAGAGTGTGCAGTGGTACAGATGCTGTGGCATGTTTAGCTCCCCCAGAAACCCAGGGGGTAGTAGTGATGCAGCTGAGCTACAGGGAGCTCAGGGACAGGTGACTGGGAGTTCAAAATCACAGTTTCTCCAGATGTCTTTTAGCTGCAAATCTGGCTGAGAAATAAAGTCTTTGGGGAAGAGGACTTGTGGGAATGTCTGCTGGAGGAGTTAGAGCCACTCAAGTCATACCAGGAACAGACCAGCGGTTTGTTTCACCAGCTTCACGTCAGAAATGCCAAATGGACGAACAGGTCCAAAGCTAGAGGGAAGGGGTGGAGATGGCAGATCTAAGTGCTCCCTCTCGATCACCCTCACGGCTTGCTTTTCTGTTTTCTGTTTTCAAAAGAGCCAGCCACTGGGCAACAAAGTAGAAATGGAAATCGCAAACATGTTGGAAAAAAACACCTCCCTGCTGAAGTTTGGGTACCATTTCACTCAGCAAGGTCCCCGACTCCGCGCTTCCAATGCCATGATGAATAACAATGACCTAGGTGAGTCAGGCTGGCTGCAAGCCAGAGAGCATGGGAAGGTCCTGTGGGCAATTTGTGGTGGGGGAAGGGCAGAACTGCCCACTTGTAGGCTCTGGTGGATGTCATTGAATCCTCCTGAAAGGGCTGATGATGCTTTGCCCCTCAAGGAGGAAAGCAGCCTTCACTGACTGGTTCCCTAGTGCAGCTGCCGTTGGCCAGGCAATGGGTTGTGCTCCAAACCTGGAGACACTGGGTAGCTAAAACTCCCAGAAGAGGCAGCGTTTGTGGCAGTAACAGTGGGTCTTGTTGGGAAGGAGTGAGAGCTGCTAATGTGCTTCAGTACGGTGCGTGATACAGCATATGGCACTTGTGATTCCTGCCAACTGCTCGTCTTCCTCCAGCTTCATTCCCACTTTAACAAGGAGATTAAAAGTAGTAGTGGGCAGTGGGACTTAGCCCATCCCCTTCAGCAAAACAAATTGGAAGTGTTTCTAGGGAGAGGTGGGAAGCCATATGGCTTTGAGTTATCTTTATACCCTCAATGAAGTGATCAGAAGTGCTTGTGAAGCAAAATGTGGGCAAGTGTGCAAACTGCCATTTCAGCTGATGCATGCAGCAGAGGCTTTCCATTGCTTGGCTACAAGCTGCTGTAGAGCACTGGAAATCAGTCCAGCAGAGCAGTATTGAATGCAGCCAGTGTACCAGCCACATTACACTCAACGGCTCCTAACTGCATAGGCAGGGTGGTTACAAACATGACTGTGCCAGACTCCTTCTCATCAGTGGCAGACAATATATCCCAGAGGAATAAGCAAAAGTTTGCAGGTCGTCCTTTTTGTGCATTAGGAAGAACTCCTTCCCCAGGACAGTGGGGGTTTGCAAAGCTCAGAGGGACAGAGCCAGCAGCTGCCCTGATGTGGTGCTAGGCAGAGCCCTGCCGCGAGTGGGAGGTTGGGCTGGAGGCTCCCAGGGACACCCCCACCATCACTCATGCTGCTGGGTTCTGCCAGACACATCGAGAAAGCAAGGGCTAACAGGCAGGGTGTGAGAAAAGACCTAACGTATAAATGCCAGCTGTGAAGAAATAGTGTAAAACTGGAACCACGTATTTTAATTTGCATATGGTTCACCACAGAGTCTTCTGTCCCTTCATGAATCAACTTCAGGTTTAAAAGCCACAGAAAAGCAGCTTGAAGTGGCTGCCATATTGAGAGAGATAATAAAATATGTTATGTTTTAAAAATAAAAATAAAAATCAATCTTGCTTCAGCCAGTACTGTGCTCCTAGGAAGCACAGCCAAGCATAGAGATATATATGCCATTTTTTCAGTGACCACACAGAATACTCAGTATTGTGGTTCACTGCGTATTTATTCCCCCTGCAGCTGCATTCCCTGCAACAGGAAAGGCTTGCTATTTTCTGTCCTTTGGAACAGAGCAAGGTTTTTAGTGACTGTGCAGCACCTGGCATACAAAGTAATCAGCTGGAAGACTTGGATCTAGTGTTTTAATTGTTCCTGCTGTAAGGGGACGAATTCACAATTTGCCTTCCCTGTCACAGTTGTGCATTTTGCCTCTTTGACCATTAAGATCTGCATTTTTGTCTGATTTGGTTCTTGTTTGCAGCTCGTATTCATCGGTGCGATGGTCTCTGGCAATAGCATCACAGCTCCTGGACAATGTATAAGTATAGAAAAAAATTCTTTTCCTCCCTGTCAGCAATCTCTCTGCTTGTGCTCTACTCCAGTACTCTTGCCTACCATGACCTGATGCTACAAGAACTTGGGTTTGGTTCTATACCTTCTTTTCTCTAAGATGCTCTGTATGAACCAACTATGAAGGCTTTTACATTCATCCTCATGAGCTAACTTCTGCATCCTCTTAATACCTTTTTTTTTCCTTTTTTCCTCACACATATTTCTTGAAAAATCAAGAATGTAGCTGTCAGAGCTGTAAATCAACTTTAAGAGTAGATAGGAGTCTGCTTTGACCTTGTTAACCATGACCAGAAGGCTGGAGGGTAAAGGCTTAAGATAAGAAATGATTTTTTTTTTTTTTTTTTTTAATTTGAAATGGCAATTTAGAAAAACTAGCAACGGAAAAACTGTGTGCTGTCTTTATAGTCAGCATCAGGTGATGCTTTGGCCAAAGTCAGATTACAAAGACAAACGGTGTGAAGTGTAACTGACTGCAGAATAAGGGAGGTAATGCTGAAAGTAGCTTCTGGCCTTAAAAATTCATAGGGACAGAAACCTCATCTTACCTTCCTTGATTTTAAACTGCCTAAGGCTGTGCCTGCTGCTTAAAGCAAGAATTCAGAAGCTGATGATATCCTATTTCTTTCCTGGCAGAAAGTGTCTCTCAGCTCCTCTCCACAGCGGGCAAGCCAAGCCCGCCATCCACATCTTCCTGTGGCTCTGACTGACTCTTCTTCCTCTTCTTTTTCAGTGAGGAAGAGAAGACTTGCAGAGTTGAATGGGCCTATTTTTCCCAAGTGCAGAACTGGAGTGTAGTTCCTGGCTACGAAGGAATCTGTGCTACACTGTGCCTTGACAGAGTATTTGTGGTGCCTCAGTTCTGTTTTATGCACTAACAGTTTAAATTAACTAGTGGCTGTAGTTGAAGATTTTATCCAGTAGGACTGTTGATGTTTTCTGTAGAGTTGGAAACTATTGAAGCCAATTTTATGCAATCTCAGTTTAGAGTACATCCCAGTGTAAAAGTGACTCTTAATTAACCTGGGACCTAATTTTTCTATAAACTTCCTGCATGGTGTTTCATACAGTTAGGATGTGGTATGCATGAGTGAAAGATACAACTGTTCCACACGAATTATAGAAGTATTAAAAAAAATACTTTATTTTTTTTCCCAAATTGATTTCAAGTAACTACAGAGGAGCAACTAGATTAACAAGCACTTCTACTACCTGGGAACATGGCTAATTTCAAGAATTGTGAATTACAATTTTTTACCGACATTTGCTGAGTCAGTTAGTTGGATATGCTGTTCCAAATTCATCCGTGTTTCTTAGAAAAACTTGATCTCCGCCCCCTGATTAAATGGAACTTAAGGCCACCAATTATAAAACAGAGTCTCAAAACCAGAGCAGTTTAGGATGGGTTAATATTCTTCTATCCTACGCACGTCTGAAGAAAACCCTTGCCTTTAGAAATGTGATGCAAATCCTAACACCACAGAGATGGCCAAACTAATCAGCAAACCAGAGCCCTCTCTTCTAATCCCCGCTCTTTTCAGTTTCCTAATGTTAAAAGCATGTGTCCAGATATTCACTGGAAACAAGTAAAATTCTCCCTCTTCGCTGTTTTGTCTAGATAATGATGTCTATTAATTAAATTTGGTTCTGCTAGGGATTTTTTCTTTTACTGCCATCCTTAATGTCTGCATAAATGCAACAATAAATTTTGTGCCCTAGAAAAGCTGCTAAGTGAAATACCCCAAGCCTGAACTTACACTGCATACACTCTGACAACTTTTTGTCAGCCAGTCTGTCATCCATCATCTAGCTTGGGAGGAATTCCCCGTAGGCTTGCGTAGCTCCCAGACATGCAGTGGACTGGAGCCATCACTGTCTTGTCCAAAACTCCCCCTATTAATGTGGGTAGGATCCTGCTTGGTAGGAAGAGTCTCCTGGCAGAAGGGTTGCCATACTGAAGCCATATTCTTGGTTTAATGACAAAGTGCCCTAGAAAATGTCTCACTTGCTATAAATCTGTCTGTACACATCTGTTAAGAGTGAAGTTTTGCAGCCTCTTATGCACAGTTCGGCAGAAGTCCCTCAGATTTCTTCAGAGTTTGTGCGCAAATACCACACACGATTTAGCTCTGACCAACAAAGCAGAGAAACACTATCAGCAATGTGGGAAACATACTTGTTGCTCTTCAGATCTTAATAAATGTGCCAGTGATGTGAAATAAAATGCTTCACTATAGCTTCTTCCCCCCACCCTGCGAGTTTTGTATCAGAAAATGGAAAGAATACAGAAGAAAAATACTTGAAAACATACTTAAAAAACCAAAAACCAAACCAAACAAACAGAAAAACCAAACAAAAAACCCCCTGGCAGATGGCCTCTTTCTTCCACATGCACTGCGAAGACTTCAGAACAGCCAACTAAATCATCAAACCAGAGCCAGAGTTTCAGCTGAGCCATCCACCAAGATTTGCATGGTATGGGCTCAGCTCTTCCGTTGGCTTCAGAAGAACACAAATGCTGGGAAATCTTGATGGTGCTAAGAAACCTAGACACACAAGGAGGTGCATCTACAGAGCAGGGAGCACTACCATGGATACTACAACAGCATTTTTTTCCTGAATAAAAACATAGCCCTTAAAAAAAAAAGAGTGAGGAAAAAAAAGGCAAAAGAAACAAACCAAAAAGCAAGGACCTTGTCCTGTGTTTCACTGTAGCAGCATCCAAATTAACCGTGCAGCCCAAATGTGTATTAGGCTGGCAGCATCATGCCAGGTTCCTCAGCTGATCCTTACAGAGCTGCTTTGCTGAAAGATCCATGCAAGAGACATGCAGCAGAGACAGGCTGTGCTGAGAGGCATGAGGCTTTGTGGTGAAAAGCATCAAGCTGTGCAGCAATGGAACTACAAAATGGTGATACTGAGGAGCAAATGGATCACTGTACCAGCAGCTCTCCAGGAAATGGAGAAAAAGCCATCTGCTGACTGCAGCATCTGGCAGTCACAGCCAATCCTGCTTAACTCTCACCTCTCCTGGAACTAAGGTGCCTTCTCCCAGGCATTACCACTGAGGTGCCTGCATCCCACTACACAGCATTTCACATGGCAAGTCCTTATTTGTACTAATCTGACAAAACTAATCCAGAAGCCAGGCTACAGAAGCTGCTCATGGGCTAACTTGCAAGAGGGAGGCTAACGATGTCTCTTACCCCTTTCTCCCCTCTCTGCAGCAGAGGGAACCTGGCTTTATGGGCCTCCGTCTGCACATCTCAAACCCTTCTCCTCCCTTGCCTTACTGCAGCAAGGACCAGAAGAGGCCCCATGGCTCCACCGCCTTTGAGGTAGAATGTCCAGCTGCCAGGAGCTCTCAGGAGAATTGTACCTTGTAGCCAGGTCTGCCATGTGGCAGACAGCTAGCTAGGTTTCCACATTAACCTCTGCAGAATTAAGCACCTCCAACATAACAGGTGAAGTGTATTTGTGCAGTACTTTAAAAATTATGATGGAAGCACTAAAGGTTATTTATCATCATAGGAGTTTCAGAAGTTTACATATAAAATACAGTAAGTGATTTTGATTTCCTAATGACTGTTGCCATTCTGTACTGATAAGTGATACAGAAACAGCCTTCCAGTTGCTTGTGTTCCAGATTTGCTGACTGAAATTATAAAATTGTGTTCTTTTTAGCCTGATACATGAAGAAAAGAGAGAGTATAATATGCAAGTTGGGGCACTCCCATCAGTCCTCTAGATCAGGCCTGAAAGTAGAGCTTGCCCGTTTTCCCACAAACATTCCAGTCCTCAAAAGCACAGAGGTTAACTGGCCAGCAAAGCTTGGGAGGCAAGATGCCAGGGGACCATGGGTACTGCTTAGACTTCTGCTGAAGATGTCTACTGATGGGAATTTTCCCATTTCTTCTTCAGTATGGACTCACACAGATTTACTATTAAATACCACCCTAGAAAGACTCCCAAAGGAGACATTTGTAAGTTTCAAAGTTTTGCTTCACAAAAGGAATGGTCATAAAGACAGTTGCTGAACCCTTGATTTCATGGTTGCAATACTGGAAGTAAGAAGAAATCCTTACCATGGCTTTAATGGAACCAATGCCCATATCTTTGCTAGTCAAGGCAACAATGAGGTCTTGCTGATTTCATAGCACTGTGGGAGAAGGTTACAATCTATATGAAAATAACATTGCCCTAACTGTCATTAAGCAACTGCAGAAACCTGAGTAAACTGTTTTCTTGCTTTTAAAAGCAGTTGCCAGTAAAAAACCCCAACAAACCAGTAAGTGATTCTGATTTCCTAATGACTAACTACTATTTAGTACCAAGAATGACAGTAAGTTTCAAAGACATTTTTCAGTCAAAACCCATCTTCTACACTATTAGTAAAACCTTTCTGTATATTCTACAGCATCAGGCACACAAAGCAGCAAGTGGCTAAGTATTTTGAACTCATGCTGTGGATCCCTTCAAATTCAAAGACAATTTCTCCACTAACAGGAGCTGGAAATTGCATAAACATCTTGCAGCTTTTGAAAAACTCAACCCATGTTCACAAAGCACAAATGCTCCCCAAATCCTGAATTATTTAACTTGGATAAAAGATCTTGCAATCTCCTTATAGCTGTTGCTGACACTTACGTACATGTCAGCATCACTTCCAGTGCCATAATGCTGGTATTTTGACAGTCTCTGTGCACCCCTCTCTGTGTTTCTCAGTTTCAACATGCTTCAAGCTATTGTTTTTTTCCACTGCAAGCAGAGCTGAGCCCTGTATATTTCATGTACTGACAAGCTGAGTCAGTTGTCAACTGACGGCAACTGTCAGAACAACAGTTCCTGGGGATACAGAGCATTGGAATGAGGATTATGTTTGCTGTTCATCCTACAGGTCACACACAACACACACACATGGCTGGGCAGACAGTGTTTGTGGGCCTTTGCTCCAGTTACAAGAAGGGTCCTTATGCTGCCTTCAGCCACTTTTACACAGGAATCAAGTCAGTGACCTCAGGTAACCATTCCTTGCTTCTCACTGGTATAAAGCAAGAGACACAGGCAGATGGTGTGTATGTGGAAAATGTCTTCAGCTCTAATCCGGTCATGGACGCACATCCAACTGATACATCCACTGTTTTCAAATCCTAGCACTAGCTATTGAAGCAAATGCATGATCAATGGAGAGGTCGGACAGATCCATCTCCACACAGGAGGAAAAGAATGGAATTGTTCTTACGTCCCTTCAGTTTCTTTTTAATTGTGAGCAGCTATGTCCCATGGCACATACTCTGCTCCAAAATCCCCATTGTAGAGGCCACTCTACAGGACTGTACCCAGCAAGAGGAATCCTGTAGTGCTGGTGATGGGCTGGGCACTCTGGTAATTTACAGTCAAGTAATGGATGGTTTTCAGGGCGTATTCTAGGCTTAAAGGCAGCGTATGAACAAGACTCTCCAAGCCAACACATTTTCATGATTTCCAAACCTAACTGAATAACAGATAGGGATCTGCTTATAGAAGCCCTTCATATTAGCACATGTTAGATCAACTAATGAAACAGCTTAATCTTTTCCTGCATCCAGCATCCTTTGCGAGACATGTTCAATAGGTACCCTTGGCCGTTTCCTTGTACATTCACATTCCTCCTTAAGTGTCTGTCCTGAAGCCCTTGAAGTCACCTTGAGCTCTTTCTCTTGACAAACAGGACAGCAAGCTGTAAGACCTTTGCTGCGACAACTTGGACACGTCAGGACAAGCTGCCGGCAGTGCTGGCTGGAACAAAGTTTATATTG